TAGGGTTTTAAGGTTTAGGGTTTGGAGTTGAAGAAGCAGATATTGCAACCAAGAGAATGCCGATCATTCGGTTCAATCAAGGTTTAGGATATTGGGTTTAGGGTTTAGGGTTTAGGGTTTAGGGTTTAGGGTTTATGCTTCAGGAGTGTGTTAGACAAGACGTCATTGCTGGAGGCGATGGGTCGCCTTGCAATATTTTTGCGCCGTTATGACTGGGGGCGCGAGGTGTATAGGCAGCTGGTGAAGAGCAACAAAGACAACGAAAGTTATCTGCTTTGTTTGATGGCGTGCGATGAAGACGAAGAAATTCGAAGCCTCTTTGCTCTCCCGCGCTGCTCTTTTAATGCCTCCATGGGCAGAGCAGACTCACGTCAATACTTAAATGTGTAAACTGCTGATCCTGCTGCTGCTGCTGCTTCTGCTGCTGCTGCTGCTGCTGCTGCTTCTGCTGCTGCTGCTGCTGCTGCTTCTGCTGATATTGTGTTTATATATGCGTTTATATACAGAAGTGTATGCTTACACGCACCTTAGCTGGCATACATATATATATATATATGTATATATATGTATCTATATGTATAGAGACAGCCATACAAGGTATATCTATATATGTGTATGCTAGTTTATATATATATATATATATTTATATTTATATTTATATTTATATTTATATTATATACTGTATGAAATTATTTTAGAGTTTTTTTCTGTTTTTTTTGTTTTGCAGGGCTGCCTTAGCTGGCGGTCGTATTTTTGAGTGCCCGGCCAATGAAGACGAGACGAACAAAAAAACAAATAAAACAAATAAAACAAATGATATAAATAATATAAATAATATAAATAATATAAATAATATAAGTAATAAGAAGGAAGGTGATGCTAAAGACGAGGATATAAAGGCTGAAAGCAATAAAAATAACAATAATAATAATAATAATAATAATAATAATAATAGTAATAATAATATACCTCTAATATATTTAATGCCAGGGGCTCTTCGTTCATCAGGAGAAGATAAAGGGGGTTGGCTGACATCGTCATTTTATAAACAAGCAGCAGCAGAAGCAGCAGTTATTAGTTCGAGTTTATTTCCTATCAAGACACACAGACAAACAAATAAAAGAAATATATACACAAATAAAAACAAATTTATTTATCGAGTCTTTCAGATTGTTAGAGAGCCAAACAAACACCAACAAGATATCATTGCGAAGTTCTTTGATCGTAAGCAAATATTATTTATTTATTTATTATTTGTTTATCTGTTTGTTTGTTTGTTTATTTGTTTGTTTATCTGTTTATTTATTTATTTGTTTATTTGTTTGTTTATTTATCTGTTTGTTTATTTGTCTGTTTGTTTATCTATTTATTTATTTGTTTGTTTATTTTTTTGTTTATCTGTTTATTTATTTATTTGTTTTATTTGTTTATTTCTATTCTTTTCTCTCATTCTTTGCTTCTTTCAGCCAATTGTTTTTCTTTATATAAAAATCAGTGGTTAATTAATTAATTAATTAATTAATTAATTAATTAATTAATTAATTAATATATTTATATTGATTTATTTGTATATTGATTTGTTTATAAACATATATATATATATTTATATATATATATATATTTATTTGAATATTTATTTATTTTTATTTCTGTGCAGGCATCGAAGAGGAGTTCTGTCCGATACCTTTAGTTAATTATTTACGTCTGTCTTTTTTAAGCGGCGAAGATTTTGTTATGATGTTAAATAAATATTTAAAGCCGCGACTGCGTAAAGGTATTGTTTCTTTGTTTTCTTCTTTGCGCTGTCTGTACACTGCAAATAAAGTTTATTTAATTCAATCGCTCTTAGAAAAATATTTACTTCATCTTACATGTACACCGCCGACATTAGGAGAGCCTTTAGAAGACGAAGAAAAAGATATAAATAAAATTAATTCAAGTTCAACAAATCAAACAGACAAACGAGAAGACTCTCATTCTGCTGCTGCTTCTCCTGCAGCAGCAGCAGCAGCAGCAGCAGCAGCAGGTGGTGCTGCTGCTGCTGATGCTAATGATATTAATAATGCAGGGAGAGATAAAGATAAAGAAGAAATAAAGAATAGAAAATATACTTCTGAGCTTAGTTCGTCTCTGCTCTACGCATATTTGCTGCTCGCTCAACACTACGACTTCACCGCTCAAACTGATAAAGCAATTGCTACAATAGACGAGGTATAAATAAATAAATAAATAAATAAATAAATAAAATAATTAAATAATTTGTCAGTGGGTAATATACTCTTTCAAACTTTGTTTATTTATTGAACAATTTATTAATTTATTAATTTATTAAATAATATATATATTTATTTATATGTGTGCATACATATATGCATATATATATATATATATATGTATATACTTCTATGAGTCTGTATATAGGTATATAATATAATATATATATGTATATGTACATATATGTTTATATGAATATGTTTATATATATGCTGTAGAAAATTAT